TTGATTGTACAGAAAGCATTTAGGTAAAATCAATTGAAAAACACCTTAATTTATTAAACTATTTTAAGTAATTTTATTTAAAATGCAATAGCATTAAAAAGAAAAAGGAAATTACAATATGAGAAGAGTATTTGTCAAAATATAATCCCTGAACATGGAAAATAACTTCACAATTACATGGCAAAAAGATGAAGATCTCAATTGAAAAATGGGCAGATTTTCTAAATCAAAGAATTTAAAAATTAAAAATGATTATCTGATATATCAATAAATAGTGATCTTCATTGATTAAAGGCATTAAAACATCAATGATGTCTTTCCCATTGGCAAATGAGTAAAAAAGAATGCGTAATACACTATCTTGTCAGAAAGGGTGAGATAAAGAATTGGTGTTCTTAGGTATCATTTCAGTGAAATAAATTTGGTACAATGAATCAATAATTTAAAGTGTATAATTATAATGTGATACCGTAAATAAAATATACCCATAAATTTTAGCTAAAGTTAAATTGTTGATTGTATATTAATTATAAAGAAATTAAAAAAAACATATAATAAAATAAAAAATACATAAAAAGTTGGTATGAAAATACTGGAGGGATGGGAACTATTCATGATATGCTATTAAGGGGTGTGCTATTAAATAATATGCACTGTGCATGTAGTGATCATATATATTTATGTTAATATTTATCATATGTATGCTCTCATTTAAGATAATTTTTTATTCATATTGTTACTTATCTGAATATTTCCCTAAATTTCAACACAGAAATTCATCAATTAGAAAGGTGCTTACTTTGTTTTTGAATAAAGAAACAAAATTTAGTGGAACACTAAAGACAGAAATAATTTTGGGGAAAAGATACCTTAATTTCCTTAAATATGCGATGAAAAAATCTTAGTAAGAATATAAATGTTTAAGGGGCTAAGATATTGCTTCCTTTCACTCAAAGATAAGTACTGTTGGTACTTTGGGTTAGATATATGTATGTGCAATGAAGCAACATTAGCAAGAGATCCACATACAGATGATTTTTGCACATGAGTTTCACACCGCTATAGTACTTTTCCTTAATTCCAAGTAAAGAAAGAGTTTAGAACAGTAGAAAATGGTTACTTTCTGACTGCAGATTTCACAGCTGCCTGGAAAAAAGGACATAATGACTTTATGTCTCTAGGATGGAACAGTCAAAAAGGGAAAAGTCCACTGATTTGGTAAACAAAGAAATTTAGAGAGTCAAGGGCATGATGATTGATTATCATGATGATTATTTTGTTCATGCTAAGAAAGCATCTTTCTCTCCTATCAAGATTTCCTGGCTCTCTTCCAGATCTAGTGTATTACATGCAATGAATTAGGTCCATCTACCTTCCTCCAGACCAACATATGTGTACTTACCCAAGTAGGTGAGGTGTTTAAGTGTGGAAAAAAACATTTAGAGGTCACTTTACATATATGAAAAATGATTCTCAAATTTTAATTATATTTCATATTTCATGTTTTAGTGAACAGCTTTTGGATACAATTTATGGGTCATTAAATAAGTGGTCAAAACTTTATGCTGCTGGAGGAATGCAATGATAAAATGTGTGGAAATTACTTTTTTAAAGGCAAGTTTTCACCTAGTGCTGTATTCAGGCATTCTTTACCATGAATCCTGATTAATTTCTTCATAGCTATTTTTAGTGAATTAATTTTCATACTCAATTCAAAATTTGAAATTTATCAAAGCAGAATGATTTCTTACAAAAAAGAATCACAGTCCCTTAAAAAGTATTTCAGAAAGAATTTTCTCTAAAGTACAGTCGGAAACATTTTTAAAGTAAAATCAGTTCTCTTTTAGTTAATATAAAACTAAAAATACATTTGGATCAATAAATACTACTTAACATCATTTATGAACAATACTGTAAATAAAATAAGAAACACTTGTTTAGAATTATGCCATGTGTTTATATGAAATGATAGAGAAGGTAAATTGATAATAGAAAATATGGTATTCTGTTTTCTACTCGATACTGACTGAAAATTACATATTAAATTCACACAGATCCTGTTACTGGGTGAAGAAGAACCATTATGGATTTACAAAGAGCCTAAATTAGGAACCATCTAATTAAAATGTAAAAGTGTTATATTATTAACTCACACTTATGCAATTAAATTTCACTAGTGTACACAAAATAACTACTTTCTTTAAATTGGCTGAGGATACACTTTAATATTTTCATCTACCATGGTATATTACATATGCATATTTTCCTCATAGTTGAAACAAAGATAATGTAACTAGCATTTATTGCATACCTATTATAGGTCAGGCATTGTCTTAGGTATTTCACTTATTATAATTTTAAATCCTCACAATAATCTTGTGAGGCATATATCATTATTTCATCCAAACTGCACATTCAAAAACTAAAGCAGATAATTTATTTAACTCACTCAAGGGCACATCACCAGGAATTACAAGCAGTAGAATGTAAATCCTGTCACTATGATTTAGGAGCTTATCTATACTATTTATCAGAAATGTCAAAGTTGTGAAGGTAAGTTTGGAAACTGGTAGTTTTAGACTATGTCTCTCCTGTTGGGTTATACAGATGAAAGCCATGGATATTCAGTCTCTACAAAAGAAGTGTTTGTATGCTACATGAATTTTACATGCTTATGAGGAACTAAAGCAAATGTTGAGTTGCATTTGAATCCAGGCTTGGCTTTTCTCAGCACTCTCACAATCTTATAATATTCTTTCCATTTCCACTTCATTTTAAAGGAAAATTTCTGATGTGATCTCAGAAATTTGAAATCATGGACCAATCCAATACATCAGGAGTGACTGAGTTTGAATTGCACAGTCTTTCGGGCTCTCAAGAGTTACAACTTTTCTATTTTGCATTTTTCACACTGTTCTATGTAACCATTGTATTGGGAAACCTCCTCATTGTGCTCACAGTCATTTCTGAACCAGCACTGCACACACCCATGTACTTCCTACTTAGTAATCTCTCTTTCATTGATGTATGTCTATCCACATTTGCTGTCCCTAAAATGATTATTGACTTCCTTATGGAGCGAAAGACCATCTCTTTTGAGGGCTGCATGGCTCAGATATTCTTTCTGCATGTCTTTGCTGGTGGTGAAATGATGCTTCTCATGGCCATGGCTTATGACAGATATGTAGCCATATGTCGACCCCTACATTATGTGTCCATCATGAATGCACATAAGTGCATAGGCCTTGTGGTGGGCTGCTGGCTTACTGGGGTTCTGCACTCCTTAAGTCAGTTGGTCTTCATAGTTGATCTTCCATTCTGTGGTCCAAATAAAGTGGAAAATTTTTTCTGTGACCCACCCCTGGTTATCAAACTTGCTTGCACTGATACGTACTTTGTTCAGGTACTGATGCTCTCAGACAGTGGTCTAATGGCCATGCTGTCCTTTGTGGTCTTACTCATCTCATACATGGTCATCCTGTTGACCATGCGACGTCGTTCCTCATCCAATATGGCCAAGGCACGGGGCACCCTGACTGCCCACGTCACTGTGGTTACCCTCTTTTTTGGGCCCTGCATCTTCATTTATGCTTGGCCTTTTAATGACTTACCAGTGGATAAGGTTCTTGCGATATTTTATACTGTTTTTACCCCTATCTTAAACCCTCTGATCTACACCTTAAGAAATAAGGAGGTGATAATAGCAATGAGAAAACTGAGGACTCGGCAAGTGAGTTCTTAATTTTCTCCCAACACTCTCTTGAGATAAATCATGGCCCATGATGAAAACCACATTGGTGGACTTCCTTCAATGAATTAGTGCTATGTCTGAAATAACATAAGACACATTTTTCTTTTTATATAACACCTATTTTTATGGTAATAAATAGTAAGCAAACCATTATGTGTAACTGTCTTGGAACTCACTACTTTATGAAAGAATTGTTGCTTAATTCAAAATAAGATTATTTTAAATAATGAAATTGTTTTCATTTCATATAAAGTATGTCTATTTGTTGCTTTCAATTAGCTTGATGAATATGAACACATAAAGTGCAAAAATAATCGAAGATATTTAAATGACATTCATTCTTAAATTTTCAAAATCATAATTAAAGGGGAGGGGTAGGTACCTCAGTGGTACAGCATGTACCTAGCATGCATGAGGTGCTGATTTTTATCCCCAGCACTGTAAGCTTATATGTATATATATTATTTATCTAATTTATTTAAAGTCATTTTGATATCACAAATAAGAAGGAGTTATTGGTAATTTAGCACAGTTCTAGTCATTTTTAAGAGACAGAAAATGTTTAATCACAGATCTCATTTTTGTCTCTCTTCATTCTCTCTCTCCATGTATATGTACATTCTTACTATTCAAATTATTTCTATTTGAACTAAAGAAGTCAATATATAGAGATAATTTCTTTGTATATTATAATATCATTTTTTATAATCTGAAATCGCACTATAAAGTATTCAAATTTAGAAACTAAAAAGTAAACACATTATGATGCTGATTTTATGATCTGAATTCAGAAATCAAATAGATTTATATTTACAGTAACCATGCTATAAATAAAATATAAAATTCAAGCAATGTTTCTTTACATCAGTATATTCAACTGAAATTCAGAGTTCATCTTCAATCTTCTTGGTTTATTTTTGCCCTGTTAATTATCAATGTTACTATCCTTGTTGTGATATTGTATTATAGATTTAGATGTTATTAATTTTTTTTCCTTTTTTTTTTGGTACTGTGGATCAAACTCGGGTCCTTGTGCCTGCACAGCAGGCGGCACAACAACTGAGCTAAATCCCTGACCCTAGATGTTATTATTGAGGGAACTTGGATAATGAACACATGATCTCTTATTATTATTTCTTTTAACTATGTTTGAATTTACATTAGTCACAGAATAAAAATTTAATTTAAAAAGGAAAACAATATACAATGGCATGAAGTCAAATTCCTAAAAATAAAAATGTAGTTATTGATAATGAGTTAAAGAACTATTAGAGCCAATTTAATAACAGTGATGTTGAGAAAAAATATACAGTATTTGAATACAAACATCACATATATCTAAAAGAAGATAAGAGGTGAAATTTTTTGAATACTAGGAATAGAGTGAAATGGCCCAACATATGATACATATATATATATATATGTCTATACATATATATATATATATATAGACATATCTATATGAATAGGAAGAAGTAATTTCAAAAACAGAAAAAGCTGAATATTTTTCAGCATTAAATTTTTAAATTCCAGATTAATGAAAAGTAATATTGAGCTGGAGAACAACCAGAGAGAAAATACTATTTAACTACAAAGTACTAGTTAAATAACCCTAACTTTAAAACTGACCTGGAGAGAGAGTGAATGAAATGAAAGCAAGAAGCCAGGATCCTGAAACTCAGCCTTGACAAGCCAGTCTCTTGTGTTAGCATAGCTACAAAGGTAAGGGTTGTTTTAAGCATTTAAAATGAGACTTACCTATAGACATGGTAAAATTCAGAAGATACTGAGACAACATTTTCGTTTACCATAATATACATCTTTTATTTCCAAAACCTGTTGCAATCAGTCAAAGTGAGAAAAATACTAACAAATTTTCAGGGAAAATACTGAAAGTTAACTACTTAAAGATCTTTTTTTAATGAACTAAAAATATGCACTCCCTCATCAAATAAATAATTTAGAAGGTAAGGGGTTAGGAAATAAATTATGCCAAACATAGAATTTGGTACATGTGAGTAAGACAAGATGGGTGAGCATAGAGTATAAAAATAGTATCACAAAACAAGATGGAACAAAGCTACCAAATGAGATGGAAGGAGAAAGAGATTAAAACAGATGGACTGTTATCCATTTGTTATTGTTGTATGGGACAGGCTCAGGTGGAAGGGCATGACTTATTCTAACGTAAACACACTGCAAATTGATATGTAAATAACTGGTAAACAGCTTAGTGACATTAGTAGGAAGAAAATTCTTATATCTGCAATGCTAAAATATTCTTAACAGGTGCTCTGATTCCTTATAGTAACTGAACCCAGAAATTGTAAATTTATAAGGCAGGTTCCTAACATAGGATATCAACAAAAATGTTTCTACACTAGACATTAAGCTGAGCCACTAATACATCTAAACTTTAATTTGGAGAATTTTTTTATTATTCTGGGCCAGAGAAGTTTGAAAGATCTATATATCCATCTGTGATGTTCCATATTTATCTCCTTTGCTAATACCTCTTGATTGATCATATCTTTGAAAGTTTTGTAAATCATAATTCTAAGGTAGGGTCAGCATAATAAAGATAATATCTCAGATTAATCAAAGACAAACTTGACAAGCCAGTTTCTTGTCTTAGCTTAGCTGGATTTTTGAGTACAGTTCAATGTGTTGTTAGGAATTGGGGCCTGATTGAAAGATGTGAGTGTCTGGAGTCCTTTTCTGTGTGCTTTGTGGTCATTTGGTGAACATCTTTCAGGCATGCTGTTGTCCATGCTGTTTCTGACTAGGAACCAGCCATTCATGGAATCCACTGTAACTGTGAGCCAAAATAAAACTTTCTTTATTTAAGTTGTCAGGTATTATATCCCAGCAATGAGAATGTGATTAATACAGAATATTGGTACAGGAGTCAGACTCTTGTTGTGACTGTAACTGACCATGTGGTTTAGAAACCTTTGAAACTGTTTTAAAAGTGAAGATTGGGAATATTTGGAGAGGTGGGGTAGAGAAGGCCTAGAGTGTTATGAGCAGTGTTTCATGTGCAATACTTGTCATAGCTCCAAAGAACAGGATGGTGGCAGGACTGTGCAAAGTAAAGGGTAGGCTTAGGAAGTTTCATTTGGAAAGAAGAACTCCATTGACAGTTGGACTACATGCTATTTGTCTTATGGCCTGACATAAAATGCATCTACAATTTTCCCATGTCATGAAACTTTGTGGGAAAATGTAATCCATGAACTAATTAATCCCACTAAAGAAATTTCAAGGTAGCCCAATGCTCATGGTGTAGAATGGGTATGGCTGGCTTCTTTGTCAGATTTCCAAGAAATCAGGAGCAAACTGTACATCTGACTAATGTAAAGCTTGTCCAGAAAAGAAGCACCTGTAATGTTGGGGTAAAAGAAAGTATGCTCACTGAAAAGATTAGTACTACAAGAAGACAAGTGCTTTGCATCAAGACAAGAGGAAAGCTGTCTGGAAGGCATCTTAGGCATTGGCCAGACCTGACTCTTCAACCTTTTGTGGGCTAAAAGGTGAAAAACTGTAAATCTTCAATTTGAAAGCAGGGTTCATGGGAAAGCAGGCTCAAGAACATCCTCTTCAAAACTTGGTCCCTGGGATTCATCTCAGGGTCCTCAGCCACCCAGGCACACAGAAGCCTCTGGAGCTATGATCAAAGTGGGCCAGACTACTGCTTGAGCTGGTAACAAAACTTGGCCTAGACTTTTTTTCCATTTTTTAATTTTCTCATGATTTTTCCTTTCCCTTCTTTCCTTTCCCCTTTCCCTTCAACTTCCCCTACCCCTTTGGATCTTTTCTTCCTATTTCAAATTATCAATTAGTCTATGTAAATAGGGAACAGTGGATGGGGTGAAGGGCGCACAGGTAATGGGGAAAAAATAACTAAGATACAGGATGTACAGGTACAAGCACCCAATGTTAAATGGAAACATATTGTATACCTAAAATGTACCAATAAAATTATTTAAGTAAAAAAAAAAACTTGATGTCATCCATATGGTGTCAGTTTTTCAGGCATGTGGGATCAAGAGTTGTGGGGTCATGAAGATTGCCAACCAGAGATTTAAAGAAAAGCTTGGAGGCCAGGCAGAATATCCATGTGGGGGCAGTTCATGAAGATATGAAAGCAAAGTCAGAAATGCAGTGGAGATCCCAGGAAGTTGGAAATGTCAGGAATGTGGAATGCCTGTTGAGGAAAACTGTAGGCAGTGAACAGAGCTAACCCAAGACAGAGGCCATGTGTGGTGCAAGCTGCAAGGCCATAGGTGAGGACCTGTCCAAACACTTTGGAGTTCATATCTTACCACAACCTGCACTGGATGCTGGACATGGAACTCCAGGATTTAATGTTTGCTTTGCTGGGTTTCAGTCTTCCTTTAGTCTGATTGCTTTCCATCTCCCTATTTCTCCTTTCTTGTATGAGAATATTTAATCTGTGTCACTATATGTTGCAAGCATTTAACCTACATTTTTATATTTACAGGAGCTCACAGTGAAGAGTTTGCCTTGAGTCTCAGTGGTGACTTTCAACTTGGACTTTTCAGCAATGCTAGAACCATTAAGACTTTGACCACTCTTAGAGATTAACTAAATTCATTTAGCAAAATGAGATGATCACTAGCATTTTGGAAGCCATGGCTTATGTTTAAAATGTGTGCCAAAATGTTTGGAAGGTAATTAGATCATGGGGCACTATCCTAGTCAGTGAACTTATCCGTTGATGAGCTCAATAGCTGAATGGACTGTTAGGAGTGGGGCCTATTCAGGAGAGGTGAATCACTGGGAGTTTAACCTAAAAGGATGGATTCCTATCCATCTCCTCTCTCTCTCCTACCCTCTTTGCTTCCTTGTTGCCTAAAAGTGAATAGCTTTCCTGCATGATTGTATCTTCCATGCCATTTATTCCATAAAGCCAGATGCCCATGTATTGAATCTATTGAAATTATGAGCCAAAATAAACCTTTCCTCAT